TATATATATATATATATATATATATGCTAAGTGTAATTTTTTATCTGTGTAATTTTGCCCCTTCTGAGAGACGCGTGGAAATGTAACTTTACAGCCTTAAAGTAAATACTTTGGACGATAAAGTCTTTATAGTTTTATCTGAATTTTCATTTATTATTAATAAATCAGAATACAAAGCAAAACAATGACATGTTCTCTATCAAAGTAAAGCAATATATATACAAAGTCAGTTTGTGCTGGAGTACTTATATGTTATTGGATAATTTCCAAATTGTCTAGAGTTCTAGGACTATGCGGGCCCCCCTACTGGTGTGGAGGCTTAAGCTAAGTTTGCTTCTTCATTGGGCCGGCTCTGCTTGAATTAGTAAAATATTAATGCTTTAACATACAAAGCTTTTCTCTTTCTTTCTTTCTTTCTTTCTTTCTTTCTTTCGTTCTTTCTTTCTTTCTTTCTTTCTTTCTTTCTTTCTTTCTTAGTTTTAGTTTACTTTATACATATATATAAATATATTCATATGTATATATTCTAATGAGGCTTTTCCTGATCATTCATTAAGATAATAATGATCACAGTCGTCCTGGGATGTATAAAGTGATCTCAGGTGAGTTAAACTACTGTGTGTATTATTGGGCTGTGATGGTGTAATATTGGGCTGTGATGGTGTATTATTGGGCTGTGATGGTGTATTATTGGGCTGTGATGGTGTATTATTGGGCTGTGATGGTGTATTATTGGGCTGTGATGGTGTAATATTGGGTTGTGATGGTGTATTATTGGGCTGTGATGGTGTAATATTGGGTTGTGATGGTGTCCGTCCTGAGGGTCGCTCTGACCAAACCATACTCGCTCGCTCAGCTGCAGAGTCCAGTTCGCATTTTGAGCGACGCCCCTAAATTCCGTGCAGAGTGTTTGCAGACCCTCCGGGACGGAGAGGTGGAGGAGGAATCGGCAGCTCCGCCGTCCACAGACGCTGCGATCGCCTCGACATTACTTCATGACTTCATCACATATTTGACAGGAGAGCCCGTGTTGGGAAAGGTAAAGTGACACGTTTTTCTTTCTGATCCTACTTCCTGTTGATTTAGTCCGTTTTTATTTTTTTTCTGTCGCCTGGTTTCTCCTCCTTCCTGCGCCGTGTCGCAGCGACCGCTCGGACTGTGGTCAGCTCCTCTTAGGTAACCTCATCCACGCTAAACTGATCGATTACATCTCCACATCGCGCCTTTCTAAACCCACCGACTCCCACCCTGTTATAACAAACACAATCCGTGGATATTCCGCGGTGTTTTTTTTTATATTCTCCCACACCAACGTGGACCCAGAATATAGCCTGGTCTTTTTTTATCCACGGCACCGCATCGTTGCGCACCTCTCTGCTCGATAGCAGACAAAAGACAGCCTGTTTTTCTTTGCGGTTCCTTATTTGGCGTTTCTCTGCTCCTGGCTGGCACACATAACAGCAGTCGTCAAAATGTATTTGAAAAGCGCGCTCCACATTTGACCTGCGCATATGCGCATATCTTTGCATATTGTTGTCGCTCTGTTATTGATTGCATTGATATACCGTGAAATTCTTAAAGGGATACTGCCTCCTGTATGCGGAAATCCTTTGCCAGGCATGCACTGTCACACACTCACTCTCACACACACAGGGATCTTTGCTTCTGGGTTTTAGTAGTTTTATTTCCTTAGTTTTATACAAATGTCTCTGATTATCAGTTTGGTTATTCCCTGACTGTGAAGTAGCTCTATGAGGGGGAAAAAAACAGATCCTGTCTTCCCTGTTTGCTGTTTTTCTCTATCTGTCCCTCCAGCATTTCTATTCT